TCTTGGATTCAACAAGTGAAAAACAAGAAAATATTTAAAGGAATATTCATTTAATTAATGAGTAGGGTTTTGAGATTAAATGCAAAATCAACACTAATCTATCCATTTCTCGCATCAATTCTTTTTTACATCTTCTAAAGAAATGTCATTTATAAATTCATAGAAGTCCCCCTCTGCGTTCATGTTTTCTATCTGTCAGTCAAGATCACAGGTTCCCGAGTAACCTGACTATATATGTGTAATTCGCGTTTATTCGCGAAAGTTTCGCGTTATAACGCGAAAAATATTTTTTTAACCTACGAAAATGAGCTCAATGGGCTTTCGTAATTCCATGTGATTTAATAGAATTCATGTTATTTAATTTTAAAATCAACACGTTTTGTAACCACGGAGCAAACTCTGCAACAATGTATCGTCAAAAACATACCGACATGAGGTTCTCAAAAATACTATCCCTATACATTTCACACAGTATTGCCCAATACCAATGCACTCATTAAAAACGTTTCTCTATCACTTGAAATGTAATTTGCTAACAATTGTTCAAGTAGCATCATTTTGTTTGTCAATGTAATATTTTTTTTCACTGCATAAGCGTGCTTTCACAAGATCAGCATATGTGAAGCGCCAAACTCTTAGCATGACGTTTCTAACTTTTCAATGTTTTTGATAAGATTTTTACGGGTAATCCGTTTTCTCATCAGATCACCCTCGTCGAAGCAGAGAAGTGTATCATTCAAATACTGCTTGTACCATGTACACACACATGCATGGCTCTCTTTTGATATATTTTCTACTTCCTCCGGCATTTTCAGAGTTTTTTTCTGGAGTTTTTCAGAGTACAGCATAAAATTGTATGGTTAACTGCTGCTCCGTGACGTTCTACGACGTTATCTTTTTTGCCTTTTTCAATGACTACCTATCCTCTGAAACTGATTTCTTTTCAACGAAGCAAAATATTGAGCCAAAATTTGGAATCAGAAACGATGAAACAATTCTTAATTTGAACGTGTAGAATGTTTGCGTTTTTTTGTGTCATATATTCCTTTGTATACATCTTTGATTCACTGTTGTGCCCCATTCTACCTCTGAGGTCATAATTTAAACAGACCTGAATCTACATAATATGAGGATGCTTCTGTAATTATATTACTAATCATGACGTTGCTGGTAATCAGATGATATTTTAAAGAAATTTCAGCTTCAGTGAGCAATAAAAAAAGTTAATGCAGTTGAATATTAGATCTCATCTATGTATCAGCATATAAGGTTTGATAAAAATAGCTTAGATTGTTTGAAACTGGGCTAAACAAAATTTTTGTAAGTGAGGTAAAGGTAAAAAAAAAAAGAGGCCCAAGGGCCTTAACGGTCACCTAAGTTTAATACAACAATTTAGAGGATCCATAGAGAATAAAATGAACTGAAAAGTGAAGCTTTGTTGCCCAAAAGCAAGAAGAATAGGGTGATAAGGATCAACAACATAATTAATCTAGTATTCATTGACAGTTTATAAATTAGGTTCTAATCTGTTCCCCATTTATCACTATCACTATACAGTATATTAAAAAACCTATCAGTGCTTCTGTACTATTTTAATTTCTTGATGAAATTTCTTACATTGGCCTCTCTTGGTCTTTGATGAACATTTAATAAGACAAGTTATTTTTGTTCCATTTTTATTTATCTATTACTTACAAGTCTACCTGATTATTAAAACTATGAAAGTACTTTTTGTATTATACAATACAAATTCTTGCATAATTCTCTTATTCTATTAACCTTTCAAGTACATTGTTTACAGTGATTAATTATCAAAAGTAAATGACAAAGGGGAATAACTCCTCTCAGTAGAAGCCCTGGCCAGGACCAGAACACTTGACCAAATGGTCCAGATGTTAAAAAATCTGGTAAAAATACCCTTCCTTATTAAAACTTTTAATCTTTTTGCCTCTGATATGCCCAACTGCAGAGAAAATTTTTAAAGAAATAATGCATTTTTACTACAGATCCACTATATTATCAATAGAGCCTCCCCCCCCCCCCCTTCCCCACCGAGAAACACTAAGAGTCTCTCACCCTGGGACCAGAAGTTTGCTCATCATAAGTAATCACTTTGTTTATCTGCTTAACACTAAGGAGCAGACAGGATTATTTAATAGAATTAATGCATTTTCACTATATTATCAAGAGCCCCACCCTTACACCAGCACATCTCACTCGGGGTCATGCAATTCACTACTCTGGAAGAAGCACTCTTGCTCATCATAACTATATACTTTGCTTCTTTGCTTTTTAACTAGAAGAAGAAAAGAATATCTTCAAAGAAATTTTGCTTTTTCACTATATAATCAATAGAGCCCCCCCCCCCCCCCCCCCCCTGGAAGAAGCACTCTTGCTCATCATAACTATATACTTTGCTTCTTTGCTTTTTAACTAGAAGAAGAAAAGAATATCTTCAAAGAAATTTTGCTTTTTCACTATATAATCAATAGAGCCCCCCCCCCCAAACTTTTCACTAGAACCCTTGACCCTGGGGCCATGAAATTCATAATTTTGGAAGAGGCATCCTTGTGTATCATAACAATGTACTTGGTTTGTTTAAATAGTACCCAGGGGCAGAGAAGAAGATTATCAAAGAAAAAATTCACCTTTACTATAGGATCTATAATATCCCCACCCTAGAACCAGGACCCCTGTCCCTGGAGCCATGAATTTCACAATTTTGGAAGAGGCATCATTGCTTATCATAACAATGTACTTAGTTTGTTTCAAAAATACCCAGGAGCAGAGAAGAAGATTTTTAAAGCATTAATGCATTTTCACTATATAATAAATAGAGCCCGGCCCTAACATCAGAACCCCTAATCCAAGGGTCATGAAAATCCCTATTTTGGAAGAGTCACCCTTAATTGCTAATATCATAACTATGTATTTAATTTGTTTCAATAATACCCAGGAGCAGAGAAGAAGATTTTCAAAGAAATAATGCACATTCAAAATATGATCTATATAGCCCCGCCCTAGCACCAGAACCCCTGACCCTGGGGCTATGAATTTCACAATTTTTGTAGAGTCATCCTTGCTTATCATAACTATGTATTTGATTTCTTTCAGTAATACCCAGGAGTACAGAAGAAGATTTTCAAAGAAATAATGCACATTCACTATATGATCTATATAGTCCCGCCCTAGCACCAGAACCCCTGACCCTGGGGCCATGAATTTCACAATTTTGGTAGAGTCAATCTTGCTTATCATAACTATGTATTCAATTTGTTTTAATAATACCGAGGAGTAGAGAAGAAGATTTTCAAAGAAATAATGCACTTTCACTATATGATCTATATAGTCCCCCCCCCCTCCCCCTAGCACCAGAACCCCTGACCCTGGGGCTATGAATTTCACAATTTTTGTAGAGTCATCCTTGCTTATCATAACTATGTATTTGATTTGTTTCAATAATACCCAGGAGTAGAGAAGAAGATTTTCAAAGAAATAATGCACTTTCACTATATGACCTGTATAGCCCCAACCCTAGCACCAGAACCCCTGACCCTGGGGCCATGAATTTCACAATTTTAGTATAGTCACCCTTGCTTATCATAACTATGTATTCAATTTGTTTCAATAATACCCAGGTGTAGATAAGATTTTCAAAGAAATAATGCACTTTCACTATATGATCTATATAGCCCCGCCCTAGCACCAGAACCCCTGACCTTGGGGCCATGAATTTCACAATTTTGGTAGAGTCACCCTTGCTTATCATAACTATGTATTCAATTTGTTTCAATAATACCCAGGAGTAGAGACGATTTTCAAAGAAATAATGCACATTCAATATACGATCTATATACATGTAGCTCCCCCCCCCCCCCAGCACCAGGGGCTATTAATTTCACAATTTTGGTAGAGTCACTCTTGCTTATCATAACTATGTATTTAATTTGTTTCAATAATACCCAGGAGTACAGAAGAAGATTTTTCAAAGAAAAAATGCACATTCACTATATGATCTATATAGCCCCACCCTAGCACCAGAACCCCTGACCCTGGGGCCATGAATTTCACAATTTTGGTAGAGGGCTCAATGCTAATTACAATCATGCCAACAGTTTGACTGCTTGATGTCCAGGAGTAAAGAAGAAGATTTTTAAAGATTGCATTAATTTTGGTGGTTTTAGCCCCACCCCTCAGGCCCCTGGGGGGCAGGGACCATGATATTCACAAATTTTGTTCCCCTTCACACATAGATGCCATATGCTAAAATTGGATGAAATTGGTTCAGCGGTTTCAGAGAAGAAGCTGAAAACGTTCAAATGTTAACACACGACGCACAACAACGGACAAAAACAGATAGCAATAGGTCACCTGAGTGACTCAGGTTACCTAAAAAATGATGCCAGTTGAATCGCTCTCATCAATACATATCAGCAAATGAAGTTTCATAATATTATCTTGAAAAGTTTCTTCAAAACTGAACTAAACACACACAGTGTGATGGAAGGATAGGACAGAAGACATACATGACCAACACTATATGTCCTGACCATATTCATCCTTTATTCTGCTACCTACAAGTGTATAGTCAATGATTGATCGTTGTCGTTTTAGACCGTTCTAACAAGATATTTCACTCATAAGATATCACCAAAATCTTGTGAAGAGCTTCTTATATAGACTTGCTTGGTACTCAGGGCCAATAAGCACTGAGGAATCTTTAGGCATGCCAATGCCTGCTGACACAGGGTCTCAGGTTTTATGGTCTCATCCAAAAACCCATGATCTTTTGTTCGCAGGGCAAGCTCTGCTGACTTAGCTACCATGATGGAGATAAAGTCACTGAAGAAATCATCACCAGAAAACCATGGAAATGTCCTCTGCCATAAGACACAACTTTGTTAGTAAGGCATGGACATGAGAGAGACATTCAATAAATCAATTGCTTTAAAAGGCTGCAGACTGAAGTTTACAGAATTAATAGTACTTGCACAAGCATACATTTTTCAAGCCTGTATTTATTAAAAAAATTCTAAAGAAAATGACATGCATCTGTACAAATATTCAATGGTACTTGAGTCTGATATTTCATCTACCAATACACAAATATTTTACACCTACATTTTATGCTCACTGACAATAACTGATATTATTACATATAATAAATAATGGTTAAAAAAAAATATACATTCCATTTGTAAAAAATAATTATTAAATAAAATGACTCAGGAACTTTCCACATGTAACTTCAAACACAAACAATGCTACACACACTAGCTTTTTTTAAAAGTACATATACATGTATATATATACAATGAGATTTAGTTTTTTTTGCTTAAAATTGTAACATAAATATGAACATGTACGAGGGCCGTTCAAAAATTACGCGGACTCTGCTATTATTTACTCTTACAGACGTCATATAGAATTGAAAATTAACAGGAACATATTTCTTAAAGATTCAAATAAATTCTTGGTAAAATTTTTTGATTTTATTTAATATCTCATAAAATTATTGCCGTTTTGATACTGCTGATGATGATATACGGTGCACGGCAAAAATGTTAAAGAACAAACATGCGGTATCCAAAATTTTATTCATTTATTTTCTATATTTCACGATATTATTCATCAATTTTCTCTAAAATTTCTTTTTATTGTTTTATTATTAAGTATTTAGATTTCTGGCGTAATATTTGAAGTACTAACAGAAATATTGTAATTTTTCTCCGATGTAACCCCTACGAATCAACTGCAAAAATGACGTCTCGTGATTTGACGGAGCAGCGCACTTTTATCACATCATTAATCATGCTGGGAAAACGCCAATAATTACCCAAAATAATCCTAATGAAACATGTAGTAAACCAGCGGAATATCCGACACATCTATACAAAATGTAAAAAAGAATTTTAGACTGTTAGACCTTAGTCAAAAGGTAATCCGGGAGGAATGGAAGAAGTTCATCGACAAAACACTGATCTGGGCTGTTAAGAATGTGATTGAGATCGACTTACGTCAAACTTTACTTCAGAAATATCTGGAGATTTAGGTTTTAACACAAACTAAAACACATAATAATAGTTTTATAGTTTTTAACCTGAATCGGAAATGGTATATGGATGTTTATTCTGAGTGGATAAGGTAACCCAAATTATACAGTATCAAATACTAAGGGAAAATATTGAGAAAATGAAAGCTCCCATTTTTAAAAATGCCCGTGACGTTGAAAGTTTTACTGCGCCGTGACTTCATGAGATGTCCTGTTAAATCACTTGAAATTGAAACCAATTTACAATATTTTGATTTGAAATTTTGATGATCATATATGAAAAGATTCTTTTATATTATTTATGACTTTTTGCTTAATTATGTCGTCAAATATATTTTCTGTACAACAAGTCCGCGTAATTTTTGAACGGCCCTCGTATTTCACAGATATGATATTTCACCATGAGCAACAAATTTGATGAAGCATGCAAACATTTGATAATTTAAATGCTCTACATTTACTAAACCAAAAAAAAAAAACAATGACAAATTCGTATAATAAAAGACAAACATTAGGCAAAAAAGATCATTCAATTGTTACAGAGATTCAACCCTTAAAATTAAACACCCCCCCCCAAAAAAAATTAAACTAATCAAACAAGCTAACGCCATTGCTCTAATTGTCATCAATCCCAAGACATCCAAAATCTGGCATATTGCCAGGAGCAGCAGATTCCTGAATGGACCAATCATCTTCAGCCTGACAGACAGGATGTTGATGTTCACTGATCTGAATCTCTGGGAAGGGTTGCTCCAGGGGGACAAACTGCTCACTGAAGCCTCCTACCTGACTACCCTCACTGATCCCTCCTTGGCTATGATCTATTTCTTCCTTTGCCTCCCCAGTTTTTACGACTTTTGCTGCCACAGCTGCAGTGGGACGGGTTTGTAACTTTCTCTTCAGTTCACTTCTAACAATACGTTTTCTCAGTTGCTTGTTCTCACTCAGGATTTCCTCTGCCTTCCGTGACATCTGAGGCATCTGTTAAAAATGGACTCCTTTATTCAATAATAATTATATAATTTTATTTTATTATTATTATAACATAATAATAATAACCCATTTAGAACAATCTATAATGCAACAACTTACACTGCTTACTTTTCTTTAAAGTGAATTCATATTATTTTCAAAATTAAATAAATCATTTGCCCCAGTAAAGGCTGAGTAACAAACTCCAATTAAGATCATTTACCTGTGAAGTCAGGGGCTCACATTCTTTCCTTGACCTTGACCTTCTGTTTCTTGCCTTGGATTTGACAGGTAGTATCCTCTTTTCCTTACTGTTAACCCCTTCAGAGCCGACAGGGATTTTAAGCACTTGTGGTTTTATCCCTTTACTCAGTGTAACTTTGTTTTCATTGTTTTTCTGGGCTGAGAGGGCTACATGAAGAAATGTATTCATTAAATACCTTGCTGATAATTCTACAGATTTCTTTCAATGTCTTATATAATAACTTCAAGAAGTCCTTTAATTCAACATTTTCAGTATGGTATCATACTGCCCCCCCCCCCCCCATTCCTTTTGCTGAGCAACAGATAATTACTTCTGACAGATTTTTCTCTCCATTATTCAGTAATGATAACTATAGATTATGTTAATGAATTATGAACTAGATCTGTTTGTTTACTTGTCATAAGTTCCAGTGTTTTCTTGGCAGAGGCACGCTTGGTCACATCATATTGCAGCATTCCCAGCAGCACAGCCTTCATTTCTGGTCCAGCGGCCTCTGGAATCAAACTTACACCTAACTCTGTCTCATGGGACACCTGTAAACAGCATAAACAAAATAAATGTTAATCAATAAAATGCTTCAATGTCATTATTCAATAAAGTTTTACATAAAATTCACCTTGCTTAATCATAAATTTAATGAAACTTTTATTCAGCTATATATGCTTACATGTCCAATCACAGCCAGTCTTTGTTGTTTCTCATCTGTAACATCTGGCTTAGCTCTCCTGATGTACTGAAGCAGTAGATGCTCCCCTACATACATGAAGCACACCACGAGACCGGCAGGATACATGTCTGTCTTGGGTTGGAGACTTGCTTCAATATCCTGCTCTGTCTGTTTAATTTTCAGGACATGAGGGGGGAAGTTCTTTCTGAGGAAAAGCTTAGCCATCTCTGGTGCCAAGTATTCGGGGGTCCAGGCGGTCATTTCAATGGGGCCTTCTGGCATTCTGGCCGAGCCAAAGTCACCAATCTTCAGAAGGTAACCTCCTTCTTCATCCTCCATCACAAAAATATTCTCAGCTGAAAAGTTAAGTATACATGAACAACACTGCTAAATACAGGTATGTACAGGTATTTTCTATTTATGAATTTTTTCTATGAACTCTAACCATTTTTTTTGTTTGTTTGTTTGTTTTTTTTTTTTTGGGGGGGGGGGGGGGGTTAATGCCACGCATTACCACAAAAAAGAAAAAAAACAAGAAATAAAACATATGTACAGTCAATACTTTTTACATGTTTAATAAAAAGATTTATAATCCAACTGAAATGCAAATAAATTTTGAACATGCATTGGTGTATACAGCTTTATTTTTGTAAGTCTTAGGTTCACTGCAGAATAAAGCTAAAACTACTAAAATTTATACCCATATTTTCTCAAGCCAAAATTTAAAATTCAATGCTGATGCCAAGAAGTCAACAAATTGATATCATCTGATTCTTACATTTCTGTACTTCTATAATAATCATAATATGTACTTAACTTTAAATAGTGTTATTCCAAGCATTTTTATAAAAGTTAATTCATAAAATATCATCTTAACAAGAAATTAATATATTGTGTATCTAATAAAAACATCTTTCTATTAACATTTATGAAAAGGGACATAACTCAATTTTCTTTTTCAACTTGAAAAAAATTGAAAATTGTGTTTCCCTTTGAAGTATATCAATAAAATTGATCAATGTAGCAGTATTTGACCTGATGCAGCAGTGCCTGAAAAACTATCTACCTTCATTTTTTTTTGCCTTAACTTTTATATCCTATTATCATATTACAGAAAAGAAAGATACCAGTAGTTCCTCATATCTTTGATACATAACTAGATATAAATAAGAACCATCCTCGTGTTAATACACATCTGTTTGCAGCATCTCACATGAGTTATAATAAAGAGAAATACATGAATAAATTACATTTAAGCACCAGCATACTCACGTTTGATATCAAAGTGAATAACATTTTTCGAATCCAGATAAGACAGGCCATTACAGAACTCCCAGGTCAAAGACCATATAGTGACTTCAGGGAGGGTCTTCTTCTCATTCAACAGGCTCAGCAGTGACTGACCTGCAAATAACAATCCAAAATTCAATTCTAGACACACCACAGGTTTATGCTGTATAAATTAAGTGGTTACTGACTATATTAGCTAGTGATGGGCCGATTGTCGCCGACGATCGATTGTCGGTCGTTAGGAGCTCTTCGATGCTACTAATCGATTACAAAATAAATGTCACCGACATCGCTGACAAAAAATAATATTGTAATACTTTAATTTTATTACCAAATCCATGTGCAAAGAGTTTTAAAGTAGTGATGAATGTTTAAAATATCGAAGGTATCCTTGCCATGTTGATATTTACCGCCATGATTGATTATAGGATCAGACTAATAACAGAAAAACGGACAATATTAAGAGGTTTATTACCGTATACACAGGAAAATATTAATAGTACAGACGATCTGTAAACGTTATTAAAATCAGGAATACAGGTCCAAATTCTGGATAACTACTTTTTAAACTTGTAATTCCAAGAAATAAATAAATGTAATGCAAGGTGGGACTAATATCAGTAATATTCCCCCATTCAATATTTTTAATGAGAATTTTTTGTAAAATAAATTCCCATTCAATATATTTTTTTAAAGTAAAGAAATCCTTTTTTCCACTTCAATAAAGGAAAAAATGAATAAACATATATGAAATATAATTAATTAAATGATTTTTTTTCGGGGGGGGGGGGGGGGGGGGGAATCTGAACTTAAATCTGAATAAGTTTAACTTTTTTATATTTATTTCATTTAAGTTAAAGATTTGATTATAATCGATTATTAATCGATTATGTGCAGCCGATTATTACAGGGATAGACATTAACTTTCAGATTGACTTGCCCTTCGGGCAAGTGATCTAAAACTTTGAATTGTCCGAATGCAAAACTTGGTTGCCCAAAATAAGGAGAGAACTTAAGAAGAAAATTATTTTTTACTGTAAATGTTATGATAAGAAAAAAATGTGACCGAATACACTACTGTCAATTTGGCAAATTGAGCTACCTGAAAAAAAAAATCAGTGTAGAGTTTGTACATAAACGTATACCACTGTCCTGGTAAATTTGACCTGTTAACACACACTGCCATGTAGCAATAACCCTCCATTTTCTTTTAATAAAATTCATATTTTTAAAAATTATTTTTGGTAAGGTACTTTTGTGAATCGTTATCCTAAGAGATAACTGTGAAGCAGCGCTAAAAGAATATAGAATTTTGCTATTTAACATACATTTTTTTTTCTTGATCACGATACATCGTGTTACACTGTACTTATATTCTGTGAGTGAATACATAATCTAATTTCCTAATAAGAAGTTAACAAAGTTGTTAGACATAGAGCGTGTTTACCAAGAAAGAAAACAGAATAACGAACGTGATTTTTAAATGAATGGTATAATCAAGAAATGCTACTGAGAAATTCCGAATGCAAAAACAATGTCAGTCAGGTACCTGGTGGAAATCAAGTGTTATTTTTTTGTTTTATTTATAACTTAATGTAAACTAAATAAATATGTACATTTCTATGAGAAAAATTGACTTGCCCGATCGGACAAGTATGTCGTCAGTTTCACTTGCCCGAAATGAGAATTTACTTGTCCCGGGCAATCGGACAACCGTTAATGTCGATCCCTGTATTACCGATAATCGATTATGATTTTTTTCCGATTTCCCATCACTAATATTAGCTGTGTGTAGCATAAATTACAGCCAATCCAATAAACAATAGATTTTAATTAATGACTTCTGTTCTGCAACTACAAATTAATGGCATGGCCTTATTATATTACAGTACATTTATTGTACATGAATACTGTTAAAACTTTTACTGGCTATCACAAAAACCCACCAGCATACTCCATTATGATTTCTGGTGTTCCATGTCTCAGTACCAATGCATAGGACTTGATGATATTTGGATGTGTGTTACTCAGAGTAAATATGGCCTCCTCTGGGTGGAACTTCTGTGTCACCTACAAGACAAAAAAGTGCTGGAACTATTTATCCCTTCTTCAAACTACACTTCTATAGAAACTATACACAAGCTAGCTTCCTTGTTTGATTATTTGATCATTTGAAAAGATTTTTACCAAAAATGTTTACCAATATTCGTAACACATTTATAATTTACATTCAAGTGTCTTATTATAAATAACAGAATATTTTAGCAATCTACTAACCTTCTTTTTTACAAACACAAAATCATCTGATACAATGCACTTGATGGCCACTCCAAATGTGCCCTTTCCAAGGAGTGTGGAGTAAATACTGGGGGGATCCTGGAACTCTGATTTCAAAACCTCAAATCTCTGTTTAAAAAAAAGTAGCAATTTCATCAGATGGTTAGATTTAGTCATATCAGATTGCAACTGTTTAACTATACTGAAAACTTCTTAAATTCATTACAGAAAAGAAAATATTTTACTGTAAAATCAATAACTTTCATGGGGTAAAATTTTTGTGGTTTGTGGAAAAATACTGATTCAAGGGAGATGCATAAAAAAATTTTGTGATTTCAAAATATATAAGTGTTGTTATGGTAATAAACATGCATCTGTAATACACATATTTCTAATTTCAGCTTATCTGATATAATTTGTCTATTTTCACTTCTTATGTGTTTTTGTGACAATACAATCAATTAAAATCTAGAGGGAGGTCATGATCTAGCAGAAAATTTACTGGTCAAAATTTACACATAGGTGGTCAGTGCTTTTCAATCTTACCGGGTCAGTATACACTCCATGGACACCAGTGTTCAAGATTTCATTTTTATGATTGTTTGCCAGTTCACCAACAGCCTTTTCTGTTCCATAGATAATGGCACTGACAGTAAAAGAAAAGATTATTTCATGTTTTGGATATGGCATTTATATTTTCTCAAGATATTGTGGCCTACATTTCAAAAACTTCACCGATTAAAGAGGGCACTTACTCTAGAACACAGCTGTCCAGGGGTAATTCCAACATTAAATCCCCACAGGTCATTTCCTGCTCAGTGGCATTGTCAATTCCCATCAGGTACTCTGACAACTCTGTGTCAGTACATGTATCAATCTCTGTGTTTATCATGGCAATATCATCATGCAAAGCTTTGTTGGCTTCTGAGAGGTAGGTAGAAGTATCTACATCCAATCTTTCATCTTCAACCTGGTAACCAACACCCTGGCTCTGGCATTTACCAGTACTTGGACTGCATTCTTGACCAGTTAGATCGTGATACACAGAAGTCTGGTTATCAAAAAGGGTCAGCTCTTTGATGGGAAGAGCCTGTGATTCTACATCCTGGTTCTGATGTTCTGCCACTTGGAACTGTTGCTGTGGTAAAGACTGTGGTTCCGACACCCTCACATCCACATGCTGACCAAAACTCGTACTGATGCCATGATCATTTATCATCTGATCTAAGAGATCTATTGTGACATTGGTTGTCAGTTTGTAATCTTCTATCGTTTCATCTTTCTCCGACAAGTCTTTCTCGGGCAGTCTGGTTGAAATGTCTTCACTTCTTGGAGCCATGACTTTATTCTTTCCAGGGGTGTTACCAGTGATAACACAAGATGTGCCATTCTTCTTTGGAGCATCAGGATTCTTAATATAATCAGGCGGTTCATCTGTTAATTAAATAAAGAATATTATATCCTAAAGTATCAGTTCAATTGTTTCTTAACATACTTTACAAAAATATGGCTATAAGAAGTAAATTTGCAGGTTAACATTGTCAGAGCTAGTGGTTTTATGGTCAGGGCTAGCAAAAATTATGGGAAGTAGTCTGACTGGTCTAGTACTCATAATGTCAAACCCTGAAGCAAAAGAAACATGCAAAATGCAAACAAAAGTTTTGTGAATTGACCAATTTGAACAATGACAACATTTTGACCAATTGAATTTAAGTACCAAACAGTGAAGGGTGTCTTATTCCATCAATATCACAAGTAATGTAAAAATTGGGAAAATTAACATTTTTTGGCATGGGGAATGGTACCGTTTATCGGTTATACAAGGAAAACAAATGCTGTAATGAATTAAAGAAAGTACCCTGAAGTCCAAATGTTTTAAAACTCTCATAAAATGGTGAAGCTGGGGAAACAGACTGAGGATCTGAAAACACCTTTTCCTGTTTTGAGCGAGAACTGACCACACCCCTTGTTTCTGGATGTCCAGGCATTGCCTCAATAGTTCCCCCATACATCTTCCCTCTTGATCTTGTATTGTAACTCATATCCACTACACACTGTAAAAAAAGGTATATGAATGAAGCATTATTAAAATAATAACTTTTGCAAAGATTCATTGATGTTAAGGGCCCTCTAAATGTAATGCAAAATGTTTTCTGGACAGTGAGAAAATTATACTGTATAAACATGATAAAGATGTAAATATTGAGCTTATCTAATATCTATTTCATGTTTAACAGGTTGGGCACAGTTCCTTTTTCGGGGAAGTATTACTATAAAACGGGATTATTCCTCTTTTCAGTAATAAAAAACATTACTGCATACGGCAATTTTCACTCGTTTACCCTTTATTTTCATGTTTGCTTTGAATAAAAGATTAAGTGCAAGAATATTTTTACATCCTCTAAATATTTATAGTCTATTAAGTGTATGTATGCTCAAAATTACAATATTTATCACTGCAAAATGCTGAAAAAGAGCGATGAAATATTTCTACGATATAAATTTCTTACGGAAGCTTATCTGTGTTAAATTTGTGAGATTGAATACGTTCAGGACTTGCTAACTCGTTCATGAAATTATTCGTTCTAATTTAATTTTATATCATTTCTTTTAAAGACATCGTAAAAATAATTTTTTATACCACTACTTCTTTTACAGATGAAAATAATTATTTTTAATATTAAATTTTAAAAGATAGTCTTTCAAAGATGGTTTTAGCATGAATGCCCTTATAAGATTCCATACTTTTCGTATCATTTATCAACAGTGAAAATTGAAGTAAAAGTCGTGGATTACTGCTGCACGTGAGTTTAAATTCCTATGCGTGTTCAAAAGATGTCACCTCCACGAAACCAAACTATGAAATTTTCCGTTTTTGAACAAAAAATAATATAACTTACACGGGAAAATTCACATCCGATTGAAGAATACTCATGATGTCTACGATTAAATCTCATCTTACTCCTGTCTGCAGAACTAAAGGACCGAATTTTTTTGTCAGCGAGGTTGGTTCAATAAAGTTTAAGCACATCACATCATATTTTTCATGCACTTTTTATTTAATAAACGGATTTGGGGTATTATTTTAAAATTATGACGAAAATTCCCGTATGCAGTAATGTTTTTTATTACTGAAAAGAGGAATAATCCCGTTTTATAGTAATACTTCCCCGAAAAAGGAACTGTGCCCAACCTGTTTAATATAGGGTACCTGGCATAAAACGTGCAAAACTTTGACACCTTTTATTACTGGTTACATGGTATAATCAGGCGAAACCACTCGAGGCAAAATTGCTCAGAGCGAACATGTAGGCTAATTAGGGCGAACCCACCTGTTAGCCTTATTAAAACGTATTCTCTATTGAGAAGTTGCTGGCTCGTTTAATACTCCCCCTCAACTTCTCTACGAAAGGCCTAATAAAAGCAGTTCAGAAATTGACTAAATGAAGAACCAAACCGGGTCCCACTTCGATCGATGTTTTAGGATTGATGCATTATAATAGACATATTTTGGATGCACAGATGTTGTTTTGCAATGGAAATGCGATTAAAATACCGATTCTGCTGACTTAAAAAACATTTATCACGGTAGAACACTTACTTGCGATATCTGTGTCACCGGATTCGTTTATTCATTCAAAACTGCGTTTGAACCCGGTTGACCTCTAAAAAAGTCTAAAAAAAAATTTCCGGATAATTTGGCCTCAATGTTCCAGTGTTAAATAGTTATCCGGAGAAATAGTTTTAGACTTTTTTAGAGGTTCAAACGCAGTTATGAATGAGTAAACGAATCCGGCGACACAGATATCGCAAGTAAGTGTTCTACCATACAAAACGTGTTTTAAGTCAGCGGACTTGGTATTTTATTCGCATTTCTATGGCCAAAAAACATCTGTGCATCCAGACTATGTCTATGATATCGCATCATACCTAAAACATCGATCGAAGTGGGACCCGGTTTGGTTCTTCATTTAGTCAATTTCTGAACTGCTTTTATTAGGCCTTTCGTAGAGAAGTTGAGGGGGAGTATTAAACGAGCCAGCAACTTCTCAATAGAGAATAATTAAAACGGAGCAAATACATCTAAATACAGTTCTTGGCCTTTTGAAATATTATGAACGCTTGAATCAAAATACTCTGGTTTCCTCTTCTTCTAAAATTTTATTCTAAGGTAAAATCCCTCTAACTGCATAAGAAACACAGAATTAGAACTCTTCAGTGTCCAGTGTATATATAGTTCTAAATCAAATTATTCTATTCTTGCGCAGTTGTATGCAAACAACTGTTCAAATCGAACTGTTCTTAGATTAGATCTATATATATTCCATTCATAATTGAAATTAAGAGAGTTTCAATCACTCGTAAAATATTTTAACATTATGAAAACATTTAACAACTTTACCTTTAGTCTTATTTCACAAAGATTTTTTTTTCTCAATTGTAGAATAGAAATGAAGGGTTCAAAATGGCTGAATGTCTTTCTACCTTCCTTGTTTTGCTCACGTGACTAAAGGTTTGACTAAGAAACGCTACAATAAATAAATAAATAAATAATAGAGAATATATCTCACATAGTAGAATTATTTTCTAGAAGGTAAATTTCAAATCAAATATCATTAGGCTTAGATTCAGATTCCATTTTTTAAAAATTATTTCGTATGGAAAACATTGTATCAATGAACGGAATGTAGGGTCGATTAGACACCTCTTTCGCAGAATTATGTCGTGTTTGATTACAACAGTACAAATAACTGACGAAAGAGGGTCATGACTTTGAAGGTTGAACTTTGTAAATCTGATAGACTATACTTGAAATCCTTAAGATTAACATTCATTTGGATTTTTGATTTCTGAATTTGTTAGAATGAATACTAAATATAGAATGAATACTAAATATAGAACGGTAGATAAACATTATAAAAAGAGTATAATGTGAGATCTATAAAATAAAGATTACTGAACTATTAAAAGGTCCAATGATGAAAAGTGTATATTAAAGAAAGAATTATAAAGTCAAATAAGTCACCCTCATATAGAAAATAAATCAAGATTTTTGTTTTATTTGACGCTAGATATTGCAAAATCGGTTTAGTAAAAAAATGTTCAAATCAAACGCGGCATAACAAATGTCCGCTTATTTTCTAAAAATAAGACAATCCGCTCGGCCTTGACCCCCCCCCCCCCTTTTCGGAAAATTATTTGGTAAAGGCACGATAACCTGTCAAAAATACATGAAATTCAATCAGTGGAGTGATGTTTACTGAGATACATGACTAACACCGAGATTTTACAGAAAAACAAAAGATTCTTAGAATTTCTTGATTTTCTTATTTCTAGATATATATTTTACTTGATTTTGAGAATGAACTTGAACAAATTAACTTTATTAAATGTGTCTATTGAGTTTCTATTTATTAATTAAAATTTTTCCCAATTACACATGTTACAGTTTGCATCTTGTAAATTAAGATGTCCGTTTGAGATGATAATATTTAAAGAATAGGGAATCCCCCTCCCCCAAAGGAGTCTAGCTGCATGTACTCGAAAATAATTACTCTGATCAACAATGAGAATATATACATTCATGATACTGGTTAAAAAAAACAACAACAATAATTATGGGAGGAACCTATATATAGTAGATGATATACATATTAATTAAGCAAAGATATCTCATCCGATTACGACAGGGGTGGACTGTGGCAATTAAAACACTTTTGAAATTTTTTTGGACAAAATCAACGTACTTCGAAAATATTTTTTTTTTCAAATTGCGTTAATTTTGGGACAAAATCAACGCACTTTGAATTATTATTATTATTATTATTATCATTATTTTTTTTGGTTGTTTTTGTTTTGTTTTTTGTTTGTTGTTGGTTTTTTTTTTTTTGTTTTGTTTTTGTTTGTTTGTTTGTTTGTTTGTGTTTTTTTTTTTTTTTTTTTTTTTTTTTTGTTGCGTTAAGAGTGTACATCAGCATTTTTTTACCATGGATACACTTAACACACTTTGAAAAAATATGTGTAAAACAAAAATTCTAATAATAGACGGCATTATTTTGTTATATTTCTTTCGAAAAACTGATGAATTGATCTACGCGCTCATCGAGAACGAGGAAAAGATGGTCCCTCAGCCCAACTCTTTATCTTTCCATTAAACATTACAAAATAAGAGCAGAGAAAACACGGACCTATAAAACTTCAGAGGTGGGATAAGGTGCCATGGAGGAGTAAGCATCCTCTGCCGACCGGTCACACCCGCCGTGTGCTCCTTTTCATGATCGGGAAATAACGGAAAAATCCGTCGACAATTCAGTGTGTAAATAATGGCATAACAAATAGTATGAAAAAAAGTCAGTCAGCATTTGACTTAATGATAGATTGTATTTGCTGACAAGGTCTTTGTATCGACCATAGAACTTACGAAATAATGACTTTAAACGAGACTGCTGATATTCTTGTTTCATCAACTTGTTTGTCAATAACCTACCTCGTTTTAGAAATTGTTCATACGTAGAGCATGTTCGTGCGTATCGAATCAACTGAGAGATATAAACCCCGTATGCAGGTGATGAAGGTATATTGCTGCAAAAGTAAGGAAAGTTGACGAGTGAAAAGTTAAAGTCATAACGTTTATCATAAAACTTTGTTATCATCTAGATTACGATCAACGTCTTTTCTAATAAAATATCCAAATATGAAACAGATGTGTTAGACTCTGTGGTATCTTTTATTTCAAGTTCACTGGGATATATCGACATAAGAATGGAAATAACCATTGTTAATTGACAATATGTCGTCGATATATCTAAATGTCGAGTTGAAGGCCACAGCGAGTGTTTTCTTCTTTTCATTTAAAATTAAAGGTTTTGAACAAATTCTGCTTCATATGAATACAAAAACAGGTCTGCCAATAACGGGGTGCAATTGGTACCCATGGGAATTCCAATAGATTGTTAGGAGACCTGGTCTCCAAAAACCACATAGATATTGCCAATCAGAAACCCGAGCATCTTTTTAATGTCAACTTCAGAGTACTTGTGTGTACAATCAGAGTGCTTTTTTTTTTTAAATTTGTAAATGACCAATGACAAGGTAAGTAAATTTACGAGTTCCATTTTTATTGAAAAAGCAGCTGTCAACGATGTCAGAAAGTCTGGACTTTAATTTATCGTGGGGAATAGTTGTATATAAAGTTGAAAAGTCGTAAGTTTTTATGTTGTTGATTTTGGTAAAATTTTGTGATTTCAAATGTTCCAAAAGTTCCTTGGAGTGCGTAAATATGGTCGATATTAATGCGCTTTGAAAATATTTTTTTTAAAGTGCATTAACTTGGTCCCAAATTTAACGCACTTTGAAAAAAAATTCAAAGTGCGTAATTTTTTAAAGTGCGTTGTAACAGTGGACTCAATAAAAGTGTAATTTACGCTAATCATTGATAATTCCCTAAGATTGGAGCAAGACGTTCTTCTCAGCAGTTTTGACGGAGTGGGACACAGCCGGCGAGGTTCTTCAGTCTTCAAGTAATTCTTAACTTTTAAACAAAGAGGTACAGAAAGACTGAGAGGAGCACCTGCGACGATCGAAACTCTTTACATTGGACCTTAAAGTTGGGTAAGGGCAAAGGACTATATAAATAACAGACTTAGAACAATAGAAACAGATTTTTAGCGAATCAAAATCCAAGGCCATATTTCGCTAGGGATTAGTACTTACCACTTCATGGTGCTAGACGACTTTTACAGTCGGCGAACAGAGCCTTGACGCTGTTTACGGAGATAAAAGAAAATGAAGACAAACACGCCATATATGGTTGTGTAGAAAAATTATCGTAAAAGACAATGGTAATAAACAGTTTGCCAGCGCATTTTCTCTTAAAGTGTAATTGACTGCAATTCTAGGGAGAGGATACTCCCTGTTTTTGTTTGTTTGTTTGTTTGTTTTTTGTTTTTCGTTAAATGTTCCTTCGAGAATTTTTCACATAATGAAAATGAGACGCCACCACTTGCCGTGGATGGAAGCAAATTTAGACTTGTATTCGGAAAAGAAAAAAAAATGAGTAGTGAGAGGCCTTTTTCGTGCCAGCACCTACTGCGACATGGGACTTCGGTTTATACGGTCTCATCAAAAGGACCGGTCTCCGTGTCATACAGTGGATTCGAACCAGCGACGAATGGATCAACTATATACTTAATCTGCAACTGTGCACCAAACACTTTATCAAATGCACTACGCGGGCGACGTATAATTTGATTTAGATACCTTGTGTTACAGTGTATTATTATACTATGGGTTCAAATATTTAATAAAGAAATAATAAAGTATCTGTGCATGGAACTATAGAAGTGAGTCTTAGAACTATATAGAGAGAGTAAGAATGAAATATATGGAGATAATGAACAGTATTCAAACTCAAAAGTCCATAAAACATTACAAAATAGGAGCAGAGCAAACACGGACCTCCAAAACATCGGAGGTGGGATCAGGTGCCATGGAGGAGTGAGCATCCCCTGCCGACCGGTCACACCTTCCGTGTGCTCCTTGTCATGATCGGGAGATAACGGAAAAATCCGTCGACATTTCAGTGTGAATAATGGCCTAACAATTATAATCAAAAACGTTAGTCAGCATTTGACTCAATGATAAATTGTATTTGCTGACAAGGTCATTGTATCGACCATAGAATTTACAAAATGATGACTTTAAACGAGACTGCTGATATTCTTGTTTCATCAACTTGTTTGTCAATAATTTACCTCGTTTTAGAAATTGTACATAGTTAGAACATGGTCTTGCGTATCGAATCAACTGAGAGATATAAAACCCGTATGCAGGTGATGAAGGTATATTGCTGCATAAGTAAGGGAAGTTGACAATTGAAAAGTTAAAGTCATCACGTTTATCATAAAGCATGGTTGTTAGATTACTATAGAGGAGAGACTTGGAACAATAAAGAGTAAGAACTATAAAGGAGAGACTTAAAACTATAAAAGAGAGATTTAAAACTATAAAGAGAGACTAAACAATTATAGAAGAGATATTACGAACTACAAAAAAGAGACTTAAAACCACAGAGGAAAGACTAAAAACTTTAGAAAAGAGATTTTAAAACAAAGAGGAGGGACCAAAAAAATTGAGAGGAAAGACTAAATATTATAAAGGAGAGACTAACAACTGCAGACGAGAAAGCTAAACCACAGAGGGGAGACTAAAATCTATAGAGGAGAGAGCTAAACCATAGAGGGGAGACTAACATCTAAAGAAGAGAAAGAGAGAGCTAAATCCATAGAGCAGAGACCTAGATCTATAGAGGAGAGAGCTAAAACCATAGAGGACAGACTAAGATCTATAGAGAAAAGAGCAAAAACAATAGAGGAGAGACTAAGATCTATAGAGGAGAGAGCTAAAACCATAGAGGAAAGACTAACATCTATAGAAGAGAAAGAGAGAGCTAAATCCATAGAGCAGAGACTAAGATCTATAGAGGAGAGAGCTAAAACCACAGAGGACAGACTAAGACCTATAGAGAAAAGAGCTAAAACAATAGAGGAGAGACTAAGATCCATAGAGGAGAGAGCTAAAACCATAGAAGAGAGACTAACATCTATAGAAGAGAAAGAGAGAGAGTTAAATCCATAGAGCAGAAACTAAGATCTGTAGAGGAGAGAGCTAAAACTATAGAGGAGAGACTAAGATCTATAGAGGAGAGAGCTAAAACCATAGAGGAGAGACTAAAATCTATAGAGGAGAGAGCTAAACGATAGAGAAGAGGTTAAGATCTATAGAGAGATTAAGAACTATGGAGGAGAGACTTAAAACTGTGGAAGTGAGATTAAGAACTACAGAGGAGAGACTTAAATTATAGGGGAGAGACTAAGAACTTTAGAGAAGAGACTTGAAACGATAGAAGAGAGATTTAAAACTATAGAGACTTAAGAATTATAGAGGAGAGATTTAGAACTACAAAGAAGAGACTCATAACCATAGAGGTAAGACTAAAAACTATAGAGGAGAGATTAAAAAACAAAGAGGAGAGACCAAAAATTTGAGAGGAAATACTAAATACTATAAAGGAGAGACTAACAACTGCAGACGAGAGAGCTAAACCACAGAGGGGAGAGTAAGATCTATAGAGGAGAAAGCTAAAACCATAGAGGAGAGACTAACATCTATAGAAGAGAAAGAGAGAGCTAAATCCATAGAGCAGAAACTAAGATCTATAGAGGAGAGAGCTAAAACCATAGAGGACAAACTAAGATCTATAGAAAAAAGAGCTAAAACTATAGAGGAGAGAGCTAAACCATAGATGAAAGACAAAGATCTATAGAGGAGAGAGCTAAAACTATAAAGGAGGGACAAAACTCTATAAAGGAGAGAGCTTAACCGTAGAGGAGAGAGCTAAAACATAGAGAAGAGACTAAGATCTATAGAGAAGAGAGCTAAAACCACAGCGGAAAGACTAAGATCTATAGAGGAGAGAGCTAAACCATAGAGGAGATGCTAAGATCTGTAGAGAAGAGATTAAGAACTATCGAGGAGAGACTTAAGAGTATAGGGAAGAGACTAAGAACTTGAGAGAAGAGACTTAAAACTATAGAAGAGAGACTAAGATCATTAGAGGAGAGACCAAAAAGTACATACTTGTAGGAGAGACTTATTTTTAATATTCCCAACAACCAAAATGAATTCGAATTACCATAGTTATATTGTATTCCGAAACTTCATAAAAATCCTTACAAACAAAGATACATAGCGGGTTTCAGTAAATGTTCTACCAAGCCTTTTTCTTTACTCCTCACTAAAATATTAACAGCAATGAAGGAAAAACTTCAGGAGTACTGTGCAACAATATGTTTGAGAAAATGTAAAATTAGAAGTGGATACTTAAAAATTCCAAGGAACTTTTGGAAATTTGAAGTCACAAAATTTTACCAAAATCAATAACATAAAAACTTACGACTTTTCAACTCTGTATACAACCATTCTCAACGATAAATTAAAGTCCAGGTTTTTTGACATCATTGACAGCTGATTTTTCAATAAAAATGGAACTCGTAAATTTACTTACCTTGTCGCTGGTCATTTGCAAAATTATTTTGTTTTTAAAAATACATTCTGATTGTACCCACGAGTACTCTGAAATTGAAACTAAAAGATGCTTGATTGACAATATCTATGTGGTTTTTGGAGATCAGGTCTTCCAACAATCTGTTGGAATTTCCATGGGTACCAAATGCGCCCCGTTGTTAGCAGACCTATTTTTGTATTCAAATGAAGCATAATTTATTCAAAATCTTATACATGAGAAAAAGAAATCTCTTGCTGTGGCCTTCAACTCGACATTTAGATACATCGACGACGTCTTATCAATTATAAGTTATTTCCATTCATATGTCGACACGATATATCCCAGTGAGCTTGAAATAAAAGATACAACAAAGTCTGACACATCTGTTTCATATTTGGATATTTTACTAGAAAAAGACGTTGATGGTAATCTAACAACAAAGCTTTAGGATAAACATGATGACTTTAACTTTTCAATCGTCAACTTCCCTTACTTATGCCGCAATATACCCTTATCACTTGCATATGGGGTGTATATCTCTCATTTGATTCGATACGCAAGAGCATGCTCTACGTATGAACAATTCTAAGACGAGGCAAGTTATTGAAAAACAAGAATATCAACAGTCTCGTTTAAAGTCATAATTTCCTAAGTTCTATGGTCGCTAGAATGACCTTGTCAGCAAAAACAATCTCTCATTAAGTCATATGCTGACTGACGTTTTTCATACTAATTGTTAGGCCATTATTTACACACTGAATCGTCGACGGATTTTTCCGTTATTTTCCGATCATGACAAGGAGCATACGGCGGGTGTGACCGGTCGGCAGGGGATGCTAACTTCTCCATAGCATCTGATCCCATCTCTGTTTTTTGAGGTCCGTGTTTGCTCTGATCCCGATTTGTATTGTTTAATGAACTTTGAGCTTGAATACTGTTCGTTATCTCCATATTTCACTTAAAACTATAGGAAAGAGACTCATACATAAATGTGATTTGAATGAGGTGGAGGATGAAATACATTTTCTCTTCAAATGCACTAAATTCAAAGATGAACGAGAAATTTTCTTAAAATCTGTCTCAGAACTATGTACCAATTTCCCTAATCTTGATTTTAATGAGAAGCTTATATGGCTATTTTCAAATGAAAATGAGTCAATCTTAAGAATACTAAGTCAATTCATATCAAAACAATGTATATGATTTTTAAACAATATTACTGTATATTGCTACATTTTGTTAATTATAATTGTGCTCATTTTGCTTATCTACATTAGACATGAGGAGGAATGCAACCTTTTATTCATGTTTTTTTTTAATTGACTAGAATTCATGCATTTCCTAGAGCACCGTCCCTTGATGTCTTCTGTAGACTGGCAACCATTAATGCACCTTTATCTTGTAATCTATTTACATTTATACACCCACCATGGTAAAATTTGTTTAAATTTCTCGATTATGTACATTTTCTCTATTTTATATGATACATACATTATTGAATTACTGTTCTATATAAGTTATGAGGAGGAATGCTGTCCAGACAGTTACACTTCTGAGACATGTATTTCCTAGAGCACTGTCCCTTGAAATATTTTGTAGTTTAGGGACTCAATTGTAATGCCATATATGGCTTCCTGGTGTAAGGGAGATAATTGAAATTATTCATCAACTCTGTTTTGCTTAGACTCAACATCTAGTATTTTTATGTTCTGTATTGCTGTATGTTCATGTATTTTTTTTGTCCTCTTGAGTGTTACAAATTATGCTTGTATCTATGTTATGCCCCCAGTGGGACCATGATTGGCAAATAAATTCTATTCTATTCTATTCTATAGAGGAGAGACTAAGAATTACAGGCGAGAGACTTCAAACCATGCATAGGGATGAGACTAACAACTATAAAGAAGAGACTTAAAACTATAGAGGAGAGACTAAGATCTTAGGAGAAAATTAAAACCATGTAGAGAAAGACAGTTGGATTGAATTAAAAAAGTTAAATTTTATTTTATTTACTTATTATTATTAATATATTTATTTATTTATTTTGCTGTTTTGAAGTATTTTTCGCAATATCCCTGGATTCTAATTTATTTATGTAATATCTTGCAAGGTTTGTACCAATGTCTATCATTTTCAGAGAACAGTACTAGTGGCTTTTTTTTTTTTTTTTTTTTTTTTTTTTTTTTTTTTTGAATAAGAAAAAGATTGAAAATCGCTGGTATCTGAGAACACTTTGATAGAAAAAGATTTTGTTTAAAATGAACTTCAAACAAGTAAGTTTGCGGACGTTATCTTTTGGACGAACGTTATTCGTAGTGGACTTCGTGACAGCAAAACTATTTTCCAGATCAGATTCCCTCAAAAAGATTATATTCTCAGATTACTTTCATGTTATTTTGTAAAATAGCCTACAGAATTTTTCACTATATTTACAGATACTTTTCCTTTTCATCAAAAGTAAATGTCATGCACGCGTCTTGTATAGGAAAACAAATATATAACAATGGAAAGAAAACTACCTCTTTACTTAAGCGCTCGATAACGTGCTTTGAATAATAATAATAGTAAACTTTTAATTGCAAATTGCAATATTTTACCAGCTCGCAGGGAAAATCGATTGTAAGTCAAAAGAACTTTTTCGTTTGATCACTGTCAAGATCTCAAGGACGTGTGCAGACATAAAATATATTTTATACCCCGTCTTGTTAATTCATGATCACATGATCATGTATGTGTCGTATCGCAGATTTAGACTTTAAGATACAATTTTTAAGACTTAAGGTGCAGCTCAGGAAGAATGAAATTACACTCTGTGTTGTGGATATTCACACTTATCCCAGATATTCTAAGTATTCGATTTTGTTGTGTTTATGTAATTTAGAATTTGATTATTGATATGTCTATTTCATTTTATCTTCCTTACTATTGGAACAAGTGAATATAAATATGATAGGTATTGTAACGTCAGAAAAGGAGACAGTGCGGAGCATGGTTTTATATTTATTTATTTTGCTTTCTTTTTTTTTTTTTTTTTATAGAATTGATTTATTTTACTGTGCGTTTTGAGGTGGGTGGGGGAGGGGGTTGTTGAATCAAATTCAATATGAAGCTTCGAAAGATAATGTTGACGTGCAGGATTTAGTTATGTCGGCATGCAATTTAAATCTGACAAAATGCAACAAATCTATATTAAGAGAAATGCAATCGGAGAAGAATAAGAGTTTTTTGAATATAAAATATCAAAACTATTTTTTTTTAAATTATTCTGTCCTCTTTATACATGTTATATTTTTTTAAAAAAAATATGTTGACATATAGATTATCCAAAATAGGTGTGTCGACATGCAGCATCCCGAAAACTCGAAGCATAGGGATCCAGTGAAACTTTTCGAGAGATCAAAGACTCAATTTGATCGGCATATTTCACACTGAATATAAATATCCAATGTACATGATTGTATCAATGGATGTTTTCAATCATATTTTGGAGGTATAACATAGGTTTACATTTATGTATTTATGTTCATCTGATATTTTATTGTATTACTTGAAATTATTGTGTGTTGGGGGGCATTAAATCAAATTCAGTATGACTGATGATGCAGGCACTGTTATTTTTTTCATTCATTGATGCATATTTCTACCCTATGTTCAAGTTCCTTTTTTAAAAAAAAACATTAGGCCTTATGTCGATATGCAAGATTTTTAAAAAATAAAATATCCAATATTTGGTGACCCAAAGAGCGTCTGGCAGGTCAAAGATTAATTGTTCGGAATCGGAATCTGTTATCTGTAATAAAATTTAGCAGAAGAAACCATCATATAATTGATGCACACTAATGAGGGGTATATTTTTGTTCTTCTTCTTAAATTAAGTGTTCTTATTGTTCTGTTCTGTTTCTTGTATTTTACCACGTTCCTCATATTACATGCTAAACAACGCCAAGTAATGAATGTTTTTTAACCACTAAACAAGAAAATTATGATTAGGAAATCAAAAAGAACACCTATGGCTTTATTTCATTTTTGAAGCATGAAACGAATATTGTATTTACATTTGTCTAAAAATCAAATAAAAATATAGATGTAAATTTTTCTTGTATTTTCGCTATATGTTGCAGGTCAATGCACTTCTAGGGGAGATATTGTTTTCTTAATGGATGAATCAGGAAGTATTGGCTTAACAAATTTTGGGAAAATGAAGACCTTTGTCAATGCTGTCATTTCCAACTTTCAAATAGGAACTACTGCCAATCAGTTTAGTGTAGTTACATTTGAATCCTCCGCCAAACAAGTTTTTCAACTTAATGCTTACCTTACCATTACGTCACTCCAAAATGCAGTCTCCGCCATTAGTTTTAGCAGTGGCGGGACTGACATAGGAGAAGCACTGGACTATGCGAGATTATACTCTTTCCAATCCTATAGAGGAGCCAGAAGTGATGCTGCTAAAATAGGTGTTCTTGTCACAGACGGACAAAGCACGATTTCTAACGAGGCTGATCAACTGAAAGCAATCGGTGTAACTATATTTTGTGTCGGAGTTGGATCAGGCGTGAATTCGGCAGTTTTGAGAAGCATATCTTCCCATAACGACTACACGTATCTAACGTCATTTGACCTCTTGACCTCTCTTTCAGGTGCTATATCCAGTGGAACATGTGCTGATGGTAAGTTGAAACAAAGAAGAAATTTTCACCTATTTTGTGATTTGTTGAATATTTCCAAAAAAGATATCAATGATGCAACATTAAGCATCCATTAAGAAAATACAATTGTTTTATGTACAGGAGACTGACCCTATACATCTATATATTTTTTTAAAGATATTAATGACTGTCTGACGAATCCCTGTATGAATGGTGGTACTTGCGAGGACAGATTTGGAGACTACCTTTGCCATTGTCCAAGTGGCATAACCGATCCAAACTGCTACGTCCCAGGTTTGAGATTAGCTCAATTCATCTTTGCTCTATTAATATTTGCAAAAATAAGAATTAATAAATAATAAGATACTATACTTTGCCCTTTGTGAAAACAGGATAAACCTGAGACTTTGTCCTCCGTCAAAATATCTTAACTATCTAAGTTTTTATATGTTACTGTTACTAGTATATCATTACGATGTATGACTGTGTATTTCTTAATATATTTGCAACATGTACATACACATTGTTGTTCCTTCTACATTTCCATTATATACAATAAACAGTAGATCAGTAAATAAAAAATGTACAAATTTTTCCCATTGATAATATTCCTTACTCTCACACAGTGATTTCTTCTGTGTTTCTCTGAAATGATGGAGGATTTACTTGATCGGTGCAGCATTTGATTGGTTGCCGTTATCTGCGAAGTAATAATTACACATACTTTGAAGAAATTATTAAATTGATCAAGGTTCCTTTACTACATGTATGCGCCTTATACTAGTAGTTATCGATTATTCTTCTGTTTTTTTTTCATTGTCAATAGCCACTCGACAAGCCTCGTGCATTTTGCCATTTAAAAATATTAGGAAAGTTAGCTTAACGAGACTGAGTCTAATTCAAGTGCTCATGACTTTGAGCAGCTTTTTAATTTCATGCAGTCATTTGTGCGGCATTACCCCTTTCCAAAATATTATATTGTGATTTTAATACAAAATCAACACCATCTGTAACGCCTATGGGTCTGAAATTGTGCTTTTAGGACAATAATGAGAAAAAAAACCTCTGAAATGGCTCTAACGACGTCACTTTGTCCGATTTTGTAAGCAATGCATGACGCTGAAGAATGACACATGACTCGCTTGCATTGTGTATTCAAGACGTCCATGGATATTTTACTAAAAAGAAACATACTAGCGATCTAAACATTGCTAATTTTTTTACCAAAATAATTCATCTTCGCCGATAATCCATCTGCACCGATATATACATATACCGCAATATGGCAATTTTAGAGGTATTGGGCATTGAAAAAAAATAAATTTTGTAATAATTCCTACACCAACCTAGAAGGTAAACTTATTTGAAATTTCACAATTTGGTTGCTTTTTACAATAACTTTCAATCCTTGGCTGAAAAAAGAAATCTCTAAGGCAGAAATACAAAATAATATGGAAAATGTGATAATTTGGCACTTTTCCAACAAATTCCCATAGGGTCCAATAGTAAAATTTGACAACTTTTGAGATTGAAGAAATCGGGACGGTAAATTTTCGATTTTTTAATCTTAAAACAATAAATATAATAGTAAAAATGAATTCAAGAACATTTATCAAAATCTCTAAGGTAGAAATACTCGGCTTCGTTAAGAGATGAAAAAGGTAACTAATTTTACTGCAAAAGTTATAAATGTGCAGTGTAAATTGAAACAGAAAAATAAGTAGAGGTTCACTTGGTAGTTTTTTTCTCGACAGGTTTACCGACCGTAATTATTGGACAAAGCTTGACTGTGTCGGTCGGTTCTTCTGCAACAATCACCTGTTCGGTTAGTGGCAATGTGTCGTCAGTGTTTTGGCAATATCAGAGGTCTGGAGTCACAACGAATGTGGATATAGCAAACACAACAAAGTATATTGGATCCAACCCTACCACACCATCGTTAACAATACACGACGTACAAATCTCAGATGTCGGAAACTATCGATGTCTGGCAGTAAATTCCGTCGGAACAGGACAGAGCACTACAATGGCATACTTAGATACAACTAACAGTACGTCATAACATTTAAATAAATTTTTAGTAGCAATTAAGTATGATATACAGGTAAATCTTTTTGTTTTGAACATCAATTTTCAGGTAGCATTTTTAATCAAAAGAAATTGAGGGAAATTTAAATGAACAAACGAATGAAAAAATATATTCCCATACATATAACTATATAGATGACTAGCGAGTTAAGCAGTTAACCGACCTGCAATTTAATTAGCATTCGGTCGGCTCCTAGCTATGTCTATTTTAAACCGTTGAAAAGTTTTGTTGTACATAATTTTTTTTATATCTGTATAAAACATCAATATTTATGTCTCAGGCTTTACATCTGTATCCTTTTGGGTTGTACCCGGTTCACCTGTGACATCAACAAAAGGTTCAACTGTTACATTGATATGTACATTTTACGGAGAAGCCTTGAATTCAATTCAGTGGCAATATGAACAAAGCAATGGCACAACCACTGCAGTGGATACAAGTAATTCAGTCAAATACAATACACCTACAACAAGTTCGCCAGCTTTAATCATACGCAGTGTGACGTCAGCAGATACAGGGTATTTTCGCTGTGTGGCAAATTCAATCGGCGGTCGCCAAGCATCAGGGAGAGTGTATCTTCTAATCTCTACAGAGGAACAAGGTTGGTGCAGACTGTTTAAACAGTGGTTCCGTTATTTGCAGCTTATTGTGTCATTATTTTGATAGAGAGCATCCAAACTGCAGAAGTAGCCACACTGTTCATTTCATATAAATATGCATTAAACAGTAAATACTCGTATTAATTGCATATTTACAGGGGTAGTTACTCCTGCGTTTCATCGCTCGCCAAGTATCCGTTGCGATACTTGGCCAGTGATGTCGCATGGGTTACTAGTACTTCTCTTGGTATTTCAATACTAGTAACGCAAATATTTTGCTTAAATAGATTTTAAAATTTTAATCTCATAAATAAAATAACATTTTGCAATGGTTCAAATAAGAATTTGGATTCTAAATTTATATTTATATTTTGATAAAATATAAACTTTTGATTAATTAAGTGTTTTCCCTTTATTTTCCAATGCATAGAAATTAGAACTTTTCTAGTTATCTTAACAGAATAAAGGTTGTTTGAGGAAATATACTGTATACAGAGAAATTTTGCCCCGTTTTATTTTCGGCTCTTTAGCCCTCGCAAGTCGGCGAATTTTAAACGGGGCGAATTCAAAGAAAACGGCATTTTCCTTTCCCATTCAAAGCGGGGCAAATCTGATTATAAGTATGAAGGGGAAAACATAACTCTGTATACAGTATATCCATTTTGCATGTTTAAGGTGATTTAAAGAGAGGACAATAAAAGGAAATCTGAGACATGAAACCTGATACATTAACCTGTGTCATTTACGGCTAATGGGTCGTTTGCTTGTACATCTAGACAGTTACATTTGCAATTATAATTATAGAAGGAGTTATTTTATCTCAATCACATTCTGGATTTATATTATGCGATGAAAACACATCTTGGACCATATTAACATGATTAACGAATGAAAATAATACTATGAATTATGTTTATTATTTATTCAAAGGGCAATGTAGCCAATTCGACTGCGATGTGTTGTCTGATTGTCGACAGATAGATGGGACCCCATCATGCATAATCAGCTCATGGAAGGTGTCCCTAGTGGGCGTGTTCGGCGCGCTGTCATTAGCGGCGGGCGTGACGTTACTGTCAATAACAACATTAAAGGTCTATAAGAGGTAAACAAACAAGAGGTTTGTAATTTACAATAAACCTTGCTGATATGAAGGCTAGCATACATTTTTGCTTTTCTACAAAAAGAGCAACAACAAAACAAAAACAAAACAAAAACAAAAAATAACATATCGATGAAACAATTTTGGTTGATATACCCTTTCTTCAGATGATATTTTTGGCATTTCTATAAGAGGAGTAGTTACGTATATCAAAGAAAAAATAATGGTCAATCTTATTTCACTGAATTGGTCAATGCAGATATAAGAATTACAAAATTAAAATCAAAAGTGAAGAACATAAGTTATTGTTTAACTAGATATTGATCTACATAGACAGATTTTGTGGGATATGTGAAGTTGCGCACAAAGTGCTTTCAGCTTTACAGTCGTTATAGAAAGTATAACAAGTGTAATATTCAAAATTTCCATCATTCAATTAAAGTGATTATAAAGAAAATAACTATCGACTTCTTGCCAACAAAGAGCCCCCTCAGTAAGAAACAAGATTTGCCCTTGTGTAAAAGTACTTGAGAGGTTATATTAACTCTAGAGACAAACGTTTACATATATGATGAGACTGATATGTCTAATGTGGTAATTTATAATTGTGTATGAGTGTGTATGTAGATTTATTTTGAATTAATTCATGAACATTTATTACAATTTTAACTTCAAAGCTGCTAAATCTGTTTCATTTTGTTTTGTTTTCAAGGTACAAGTCCAACCATTTGTTTGATTACGCGATTCATCAATACGTAGAAAAAGATCTAGGACAACAAAAGATGACGTTTAACCCCGGTGTTTTGTATTGAACACAAAAAGCATTTCAATCATAAAAATTGGTATATTCACTATGATTAGATGTTATTTAGGTGTCAGTAGGTGATGTTAATTAAATTGTCATTATTCCATTACTTCAATTTATACTTACTATAAGGTTTACTGAGATGCAGAATGACAAAGAGTGTTGATAATACAAACATCAACAAAATACGTATATAACAGTTTTGACAAATAGCAAACTATTTAGTAGAATTGCTAAAAACTTAGTATCAATCATATAGAACTCATAAACTAATGCACATTTTGGAATAAAATGCCAACAGAAACCAAGCTCGTAAGTCCATTAAATCAATACAAGTTGGAAGGAGAGCAAAGCGGACCTCTAAAAAACATCACAGGTAGGATCAGGTGCATGGAGGAGTACACAATAAGTATATTGCTATCAATCAAAGTTCAAACAAAACGTATGATGAAGTTTGCTATTTATTTATATAAATATAATTTGATATTGATGATCGATAAATTACGTTGTAATATTTAGTGCTCTTCTTTTCCACTAGTAACAGCCTAAATGCAGCTAGGCATTTTATGTACTAGGTTTTCACGGAACGTTGTTTGAACTGATCTATTTTCACATGTCGTTTTTAGCCATTGGCATGCTTTTACAAAATTCTTCATATTCCAGCCTAAAATTCCCCTGAATTGCTTTAGATTGATTTCCATTCGAGGTCGTTTACCGGCTAATGTAGAAAAATGCATTGCCCTTGAGAAACTCTCTTAAATTGTGTTTATCAAAAGAAACTTAAAGGTGTTAGTACCATTTATTCAGTAGTCCCCACAATACTGTTCTGATTCAAATCTGAATAAAACATGTGGACCCAATAAAGAAGACAAGACCTTGTTCAAAACATGCTAATGACTTATAAATTAAGAGATATGTGGAAGCACTCTAGCGAGAAAGGTGCCAAATTAAAAAAAAGTGTTATGTGAAAAATTTGTTTATAGCATGCTTAATTGCACTAGGGTAATAAATTGTGCAAAGTTCGGGAGCGAGAAAATAATACTAGTAAATTATCAACTCTGATTAAAAAATTAAACTTAAATTAAATTGCAAAATCTTTCATCCTTTTATTTGCGACGTTGTTTAGTAGCAATAAATTTATTTTCAAAAATGTACATTTAATTAGTTCACAAAAGCAAGTTGGGTTATTTTGTTTTTGTTTTTGTTTCTGAGCTGTACATTTGAAACAAATGGTGCATTGTTTGTACATATATTTCTATGTGTTTTAGATCTCCAGATTGTTTATTCTTTTATAAATGTAGTTAAACTTTCAAGATTTTTTTTTTAAAATAAAAACAAACGTATCAATCTTATCAGACAGTTCATCTTCAAGAAATAAATTTTAAAATAAAATAAATTCAACCAAAAAAATTGTCTTAGAGATATACAGATTTTATCAGGAACTACAACGCTTTACAGCAATCTCTCTCTTGGTTTGCTAATAATCGTCATAATAAGATGGAAAGACTTGAAGTTGGACGCTAAGGGAAATAAACCAAACAATGAAGTTACTGATTAGAAATGTGCAAAACGTTTCATTTATGGATGAGTTTTGTTGTCTTAAAGGAAGAACTTCACAATATTTATTACGCCACTAAACTTTGTCTGGATGATAAAGCAATGATCCGCTGAAGGGGAAGAATAGAAATGCCTTGATTAGCGAAGATGCAAAATATCATTTATTAATTTTCGGAAAACAGGGTTTTGAAGAATATCAGTGAAATAGTTAAGCGTGTTTTCGTTTAAACCTTCCAATAGAAATATAAATACATGATACATGATTGATATACATATCAGTTTAACAAGTTAAAAGGTATCTATGAACACTATAGTACATTAACTTGCATGGATGATGCATGTAGTGATGCATACTACTAGACTTAATTCGGATGTAGCATCTGACCTACCGTACCTGGATGATCTGACCTAGATAGTACATGTGATTGAAATTGGTAAAGCTTTTGGAGCAGATCTTTCAACAAGAAACTATAAATCTTTCAAACTTGGTCAAACTTATATTTAAGGATGTAGTGTTAGTGTTAGAATTTAATAATTTCGTTGGAATTTCGATAGGCACTAATTGTGCTTCTTTATTAACCGATCTGTTTATATATTTCTAGCAGAATTTATTCAAATGGTGTAAACTTGTTGTAGCTTGACAATCAGATGTATCGACGACGTTTTATAAATGAACAAATCATAGTTATTCCCATTCATATATTTCAACTCGATACATCCCAGTGATCCCGAAATAAATATTTTGTATATTTCTAATTAAGTATGTCCCACATATCTTAAAGCAGTTATATCATTAGGTTTCTTACCTTATTTTAGAAATATTGATTGACAATTACTATACCCTACAGTATCTAAATGGAGTTTTAATTCTCCATGTTTCCGGACCCATTACTTTGTCCATAATGGGATTTTTTAAGCATAAATAAAAATATGTGAATGGACATGTAACTTTAAAATATTTCAGAGTATGAATAGGCTTTAAAATTCGAAAAAGCAAATTTCTTCTATCAAACTATATCTGGAAAGGGAAAATTACGTACTTTTTAAAACAACTTAAACAACAAAAAACTTAATTTGCAAAAAATTCTATCATTGAAGATGACCTCAATATTGCACAGGACATCGTTAATGAAGACGTAAGCGTGACATTGATATTTCGAGTACGCGAAAAACCAACTATGACGTCACACGTAAGCTAAATAAGCAAAATAAGATATACCTACATATAAGATTTCCGTCATCAGCCATGCAAAATAATTTTTGTGTTCCCCGTTTCTCAAAATATTTCATCATAAATTGATTATGACCTGTTTTTACATAATGATAACGCCCCTGTATTCACCGAGTATAATCTTGCTGTACTAACAGATGACTTGTTGGATGCGCAGTTCAGGGAAACAGAGGAGTGGATCACTCTATTTCATATTTTGTTAATTTTACAAAGAATATTTTTTTTTTTAATGTAGGATGGTTATTAAAGTAAAACAAATTATCAAAAATTTATACAAGAATTTTACACGTTTTGCACTTATATAAATGGAGACTTTGACGTAGTTAAACAGAGTCATGTGACCATGTGTCCTTCTTCCTTTTAATTGAAACTCAAGAGAATGTTCTGAGAACTATCAATATTGTTAAATCGAGGCATGCCACTGATAAATAACTTCATGTTACATGAATTTTAACACCTCATTTAAAGTCAGCACTTCGTAAATTCTATGGTCTTTTTAATGACTTTGTTAGTAAATACAACCTATACAACCTATCATTGGGGCGTATTTTGACTGAAACATTTCATACCAGTAGTAAAGCTTTTTCTGCTTAATTTTACGGTTTATTCCGTCTACATCATCAATACATATAATAGGGCTCACAGCGGGAGTATCAGTCGACAGGGAATATTTATTCCTCCTAGGCACCTGATCCTACCTTTGAAATCTCCAAGGGTCCTTGTTTTATGTCCTGTTTACAGATTTGTATTCTTTCTAGATTGTTTTAGATCGATTACTCTCCGTTATCTTCACCTATTTCATAATTTGCTGTGACACTTTGCCTTCACTTATAAGTAACATTAGTTCAGGTTATCTTTGGTTATGTATGTTTATACACGTTTTCCCCCAAAATTAATGGATACAAAAGCCAATGAAGCCACTGTTTAGAGAAATATGATCTTATTTCTTGCCTTTAAATTACCCACTGTAAAAAAGTTTATGTTTACAATTACACTGCTTCGAGTACAATAAGATTATTTCTTAAACTAACACATGAATTTCAAAGTAATATATATATATATATATATATATATATATATATATATATATATATATATATATATATATATATATATATATATATATATATATATATATATATATATAGATAGATAGATAGATAGATAGATAGATAGATAGATAGATAGTTTAAATATAAATTACTTTTATTTAACTTCCAAAACACAACGGATTTTCTTTACTAAACCAACGATGGTTGTTTGTTCCCAATCTTACAATAAACATGTACTTTATTGTCCCAGATGAGCTTTCCGGATTTGTCTTGGCATGCCATTATAAACTTTCTTTAGGGATTGAATTTCAATGCTAAACTTTACAATAGAAATAAACGACTTTTAATCCCCAAAGAATAGAATATTTCTGCTTTAACGGAAGACATGTATGATGAAATAGTAGTATTAATGCATAAATCCATTCCGCTATTGTGACCAGCTTAACATGTGGTGTATTTCATTTTTGACTTTTAGTTCAAATCTATCAGTCTGACTATTTATCTGGCAATACACAATTCTTTTAAATGTGATCCTGATTAGATAAGACCGCCTACAGTATCGATCTAATTTCAGCTTTTTTCTTTCTTACGTACGAATCTAGCTTGATCATCGAGAAGCTCAATAAAAGAAGCTTCTTCGTTACCACTCTTTCTGCTCTCCGTTTCCATCAAGACGTCCCGTCTGTCTCCTAGTCATCCATCGTTTCGGTTTGAGCAGGATTTGACATGTCAAAATGTCAAGTCAACCATCACACTCAAATAATAATTGTAATTTATTGAAATATATTTATTTTTCAATACAGAAGAAATGATTTCCAAAATAAATTAAAAATTTGAATTAGCTGAAGTGCCACCTGGCATTTACTCCGTTATTTAACTAACCTACATATAGTGATGTTTGAAATATAATTATCTTCAGAGAATAAGCATCCGATATTTCACTAGCTTAATGGTTTTGTTATCTAACATTGATTTGAATAATTAGTGTTTAACGGAGAAAAAAATCGTTTTTAATAGTTTTTGATATTTTAATAAGGAATACATTTTTGTCAGATGTAGAATAAAAAAATGTTTGAACTGATCATGTGAATCGACTAAGCACAAATCGTCAGTCGCCACCCGTCTGTAAATCTGAATGGGTGCCGATGCGTTCAGAGTTTTATTCTACTAATGTCAGAGTTCTTTTGCCTTGAAAAATGACACGATTGAAATTATTTCTATACTGACGTAAACTTGTTGACTTTTGAATTGCATAGATAAAGTA